GGAATTGTATGCAGTCTTTATTCTGAACAAAATACTGAATAAAATTTTGAAATTTCTATATATCGATATTTATGTCTTCTATATTATATTATTGGCTCTCAAACAATTCCGATTTTTGAGCCTTACATTAATTTTATGTCAATTGAAATCGTATTTGCATAAAACCAGTCCATTGTGTGTATTTTTATTACAACGAAATAATAGTATATACCGTAACATTCAAACTTGCACTTGAAAAACAGAGTATGTTTCGTAGATTCATACAAAAAGATCTCTGAGCCAACACTTTTGTTCATCGCTGTATTTTAAATTTCATTTCTATCAGGTTTTGTTCGTTTTTCGTTGCAAATTCGTACGATATATTTTCATTTGTTATTTTCATACATTCAAAGTGAATATACTCTCCGAATGAATAAGAAACGACGTGTGTTGTTTCTAGTTCGTTAATGAAAATCACGAAAATTTCCAATATCTTTTCACCCGTACGGGGGAAATTATTGTTTTGTCTGGCAGCAGGCGTTTCGATTTATCTCTTGTTTTTTCCAGCCCTCTTCGCTGCAGTGGAACATGGCCATCTCGACAAAGCCAGAACAATTTTGGAGTCGACAGACGTGGACGTGAACAGGTGAGTTCTCGTGTGTTCCCGCTTTCGATGGAATCGCGTGTTAACATCGCGCGTAAAGTTTCCACTTGAAAACGATTTGATTGCACATATTGCTTTTAATCCTCATCCGTCTCTCGTGTCGATTCACGTATTTGTTATAAAATGTACAAGTATAGAAACTATACTATTTATTATACTAGTTATTTACTATCTATTTTTATACTATTTATTTACTGTCTAACACAGAGTGGTGAACACACACTTGCGCACACATTTTTCCCAAATTTTTGCGTAAAAATTTTCAATGTTCGAAAAATTATCGATATCTGAACAATTTGCAAAATAGTTTCGTAACAAGAAATCACACAGTGATGAATCTGAATTAAAATATTTTCATATCGTGCTTCCTCAAAAATTCACATCCTTCGAAACATTGAAACATTTTTTTTCCCACGACTGAATTTAGGAGCTTTCTCTTTACAATGAAATTTCTTTTTGCAAAAATTATTAAAATAACCGAGAACGACAAATATTTAACGAAATTCTGGAATTTCTTGACTCTAATATTCAAAGTTCAATAATCTGTGGAAAAAAAATTGCACGACAATTTTTATTATCGTGAAGGGACACATTTCAGTCCGTTGTGGATTCAGTTTTCAGGGAAAAAATTTTTTCAATGTTTCGAGAGACATTTGCATATATAAAGTGTCTTTATTTCTCTCCAGGCTTGTAAAAGTAAAAGATTCACGCTTTAAAATGAGATTCTTCTCACGAAATTACAGTAGTTCAAGTATCGACAATTTTTCGAACATTGGAAATTTAATATACATAAATCTATGATAATATACATAAATCTATATCGCCATTTAATTACTTTTAATGACAAAATGTGCGGCTAGATTTGCAAATAATATTCGTTTTGAAGTCTCTTGATAGTCAGTACATTGCTATCGATTCTTTTCGAGATCGATACATGTTAAATAATAATGATAACGACCATTTTAAAGTATAAACAAAAAAAAAATTGAAAAAGCAATATTTCGTTAGAAAAAAAAAGATAATATTTCGTTATTGAGAATAAAATTCTAAAAATCATACCACATTGAACGTGTTAATTGTTATGCATTCAGTGCACTATTTTTGAAGATGTGTGTAGACATCTATGGATAATTTTGAATGTACAGTGGGTGTAAAACATATTCGTACACTCGAAGAAAAATTGTCGATACTTTAATCTCTTGTGACTTCGTGAAAAAAAAAAGTAAATTGAAGTTTCATGAGTTTAAAATATCCACAATTTTCCATCAAAAGTGTTTCACAGAAATATTTTTCACAACCTATAGTAATTGTGAAAAGTGTAGATCCGAAACAAATGATCATAATGTTAGATGAAATATCTAAGATCGAAATATCTAAAAGAGAATATTTGCAAATTTACAACTATTTACGTTTCAATAAATATGTTTTAAGTTGGGTGTTAATATTTTACCATTTTATCAATATGTTACAATATCTTACAATATTTTGTAATACACAGTACTTTACGATATACAGTTACAAGACTAGTGTAAGTTTAGGTAAATTAATTCGTTGTGATAGATAAGCGACGAAATTAAATGTAGCAGTTTGAAAATCGCAAAGAAATTGGCAACGCGTTGATTTGCGAGGCAAAGAACCGTGCCACTCCACGTGATCCTGATGTAGGTTAATTGCAACTGTTAATTAATTGGCAACTCGAGAGAATAAGCCAATTAACATAGAATTGGACGGATGGATTTTAGGATATATGGACTCTATTTCAGGCTTCAGTGTTACTTGAATAAAATGTTTGAAGAATGATCAATTTAACCTTCGTCCGTCTCTTGTGTCAAATTGACACATTATTCTTATAAAATACATTATTTTGTAACACGTGAGTACAAATACAGAGGTGAAATTCTGTGACATCTATTTTTCTAATAAATAAATAAATATATATATAAACGATTAAGTATGTTCGAAAACGTCCAGCATCAAAGGTGATAATTATATCAATTAATGACCCCCTCGAAATCATTCAACTCTCGTTTAAAATATTTTTTTATATAACTAATCGATATAACTAAACTATTTCAAAAATATTTTAACCTTCTAGTGTTAGGTAACTCATGCGATATAGTGAAGAGTATATTTGAGCCGATAACAGTGAAGAATATTTTAAATTGTAACTTTGTAAAAAAAAAACTCATATAACAATTTTTTTTCAAAAGATGTTTTTGTAGGTGAGAAAGTAAGGATACTTTTATTCCTGAAAGTTAATGAAAATTCAGGCGTTTCTACAGATTTACAAATTTACATTCTGTTCAATTTTTTTTATATTCTGTGCATTTTTTTGCATTTTTTAATTTCTCATAAATGCGTGAAAGTTCACAGCCCAGTTACAAGACTTCTATCTTTCGATATTTTACATATTTTTGCGTGCGATCCATTTTATCGTGCGCATCTTTCTATCTTTGATATTTTTCATAAATTCACATAAAAGTCACAGTGCCATTAAATATCTCGAGAAAATTGAACATTCGTCACGCAGAACAGATTCGTATTTAAGTCAGTGTTAGTTCCTATACATTTAAACAAATGGGACAATATGTAAGATTTCTCGAAATAATTGTTATAATGTTAATATTCATTACACAAATTTATACACGTAGTGAACAAATACAGAAGTAAGAATCTAAGAAAATATTTGTTTTATCCATTACATATTTTTTTAAACGTAATAATGAAAATTTATGTTTTTATATTACAATTAAAGAAATAACTAAATAACTGAAAAAAAATGAAATAAAATCTAACAAGAGATTTATTTTACTCCCGTTACATGTTACAACGAGTGTTATACTTTTAATATGTCATATGCTTTATTTGTTTATCTTATATGCATTCTTTAAATATTTATTCCATAAATATGTAAAAATCTGCAACTTAATTCCATAGAATTGCAAAATTGAGACATTATGGAAATTTATATTTTTGCGCACACAGTCGAAGAAATAAAATTGAAAAAAGAGAAAGGGAAATCTATAATTTCGATATTTTATATAGTTTTACATAATATATGTCCCGTGTTTTTGTGTTTTTAAATTCCTTACAAATATGTAAAGGTCTGCAGTTTAATTCTATAGGATAGCAAAATTGGGACGTTGTGAAAATTTATACTTTTATGCGCACAGCTGAAGAAATAAAATCAAAGTTGTTTTCATATTTCATATGTTCTTTATATTTTTAAATATATCACGTGCATTTTGTGCGTTTCGGTCCCTTTGAAAATCGCCATGAATATATAAAAACCTGCAGAGTTTAATTACATCCAGTCGCACGATTACAAACTAAAAGTCCGTCGAAATTAAATATCCCGTTGGATTTTTCAATCGGAAAGGAGTGTAATCTTCATTCTCCCAGCCGTCGCGATGCAATCGCAGATATTTCATTTTTCGCAAATTACATCGTCGGGGGATTAACAGGGGGAATTGCCAGTGATTGTAAAATGTTTGATCGTTCGATTACACGCGGAAATTGAATAAATGAAATTCAGCGGAAAAATGTTCGTCTGTTTTACGAGACGTGTCTCTCTTCGATAACAATTTACGATACGGCGAATTCATGGTTGATTTCAC